CTTTTATTTCTTTGTTTCTCCCTCTCTCTGTGGTGGGAGGGGCCAACCTGCGTGCTGTTAGCAGCAGGTACAGGAAGTGACCGTGGCCAAAATACCTGAGAAACTCACCTAAAGAAGTGAACTCTGTGAGATTCAGTGTTTTCTACTGGATCACTGGTTAATTCTGTGACTCTGTCTGCGTCTCATGAACAACTTATAAACAGACGTGGAGCAGGAGGAGGTGGATTCTGATTGGCTGTTGTCACATTYCCACCATGTTTGATGGAGGAAGAGGCTCCATCAGTAAACATGATGAAGTCATGGCCCAGGCTTGGTTCAGTTCTGTTGTTGATCCATGGGGTCAGACCACTGTGTTCCTGTGATTTGGTTACTTGTTGACWTCTATGATACAAGTCTCATTCAGACTTTAATCAACTAATTCATGAGGCATTTAGCTGCAAACCTGACTTAAACTATTCCCCAGGAGTCCAGTGAGGTGACCACTGAAGTGAAGAGATGGGACAGTTGTGGGTTAGTGGTCCTGTCTGAACCGGTCTTTTCTAAAGGTCCTCAAACATAAAACAGTCTCTGAAAATATTGTTCAGTTTGACAGATGAGTTACAAATAATCTGTTCTTCTCCTTTCTCACCTCCTTATGTGTCACTGTTTTCAGTGGTCTTCAGTAATTAACAGTGCAGCTTCATTTTGCCCCCCCCCCCATGTTTGTCTCTGAATGGGCGTCTCAGCAGCTGTTGGGCCAACACACTCCACTCCATTAAGCATCATGACAGGCTGGTATCCAGACAGCACACATGTCAGACACACTTCAGTTTGTGCCTCACCACCTGTGCATGAGGTCTTGTGATGATTGGAGGTCAGCCACAGACCACCCTGTCTAATCCTACCTAGACCTGGGTTAGGCCTCCAGTCAACACCAGTCCTGAATCTTTCTGCTCTGACTCAGGCAGCAGTCGATTAGTTCCAACCAGCTACATGAATTAGTTGGTTAGAATAAGATGTTTACTTTGTTCCTGTCATGTTTTCTGCTGCCTTGGCACAGAAACTCCTGCATGTTGAGAATTACTTTCGATACACGTCAAAGAGCAGGCAGGAACCTGTAGCATCCAGCAGTCAGCTTTACTTTTCCTGCTACAGCACACAGAAGTGACGTGGTGTCATAATTACAGAGAGAAAGTTCTGCCCAGGTGTGCACAGAAAAAAGATCCAGAGACGTCACAATCAAGTTTTAATTTGCCCCAGAGCCCAACGTGAATCCTCTGGTTTTCTGTCAGCACAAGTTTTTCTGACAGAAACCAGAATCTATTCAGAGGAAACACACTGTCACCGTTTGAAACGTGCTGCAGACAGCAAGCATTCCTCAGCTCCAGATCACTGAGAAGTGTCCTTTTTTAAACACAGAACACCTGGACTCAAACTACCAACCTGACTTCAAAAATACTATTTGTTCCTCAACAAAACATCTGAAAGAAAAGTTTCTAAAAAAAACGTTACGTTTGCAGGCTGGAAGTACTTCACCATGTCCTGTCCCTGTCCTCCTGGTCACCAGGTCCATGTCCTGTCCCTGTCCTCCTGGTCACCAGGTCCATGTCCTGTCCC